AAAGCCATCTGGAACTAGATTTATTTTAGAAACTTTATAAAAAGCTTACTAAGCAACTTGTTCCTAAGACCTAGGTAACTATTTCCACTGTAGGAAGTGAGAAATGTTGATTTCCAGGTCAACAGTGAAAAACTTTCTAATAGTCACAGTTTTACAGAATTTAGTGCCACCAAGTCTTCACATTCCAAGAGAATGTGGCAGATTCTCTTGTAAGGTTCCATTCCAGTCATGTAAACAAGGTGCCCACCTTTTTTCCATGACATTGCAAAGACCAGAGACAAATTTTTCAACTTAGGTGATTCTGAGGTCTTACAAACTGCTCTATTTACATGCCAACTTTATCTTACGTGTGTACATTTCTTTCAAGTTGAGTTTTACTCATTTGTACTTTTCAATTTTAATTTATGCATGCCATAAAGCTCATGTAATACAACAAAATAAGAGTGAGTAATAAATAACCAAAAAACTCACCGGAGATTTATTCATCTTTTGAAGTGGATTAAGGAGAGAACTGTTGTGCCTTGGCTCTAGGTTCTCCTTCCCCAAACTCTCTACTTATTAGGTGAAAAAGACCAACAAACAAAAAGCCTTCCTGTGAGAGAACAGTCCTTAATGCCTCAATAAGGGGCAACAAGGACCCCATTAAAGATGCAGCTACAAGTACATGAATAGCTACACATTACACACTCAATTTATTTTTGGGTTAATGAAAACATACATAACTTACTGACTCAGCACAAATCAATATTACCTAAACATATAACTTAGTAACTTAAACCAAAGAAAAGCACATGGCATTACTAAAATCAGTGTTGTAGGAATAGCTTGGCTATGTTTACTGTTACCCTATTAACATTAAGTTGACACATGACTCCAAAAAATGTTTCCATTATAACACTTCTTCCTTTTATGTACCTAAATATCTGGATAGTGCATATCTTGCAACCCAGCACATTTTGCCATGATTATACAGGTAAAAAAAAAAAAAAAATACACACAATGTATATTTCTTCTGATACACTGACCTCCCTGTACCCAAGCCCTCATATAGTATGCTCTGACAATAAACTAGTCTTT